ACAGGTTATCTTATGACACTTGGTAGGCTGTCCTGTCTCATGGATGTCGCGCAAACAGCGCACAATTGCACAATCAACCGCTGAAGCAGAATATATGGCCGTAAATGAAGCTGGCCGCGAAATTCGCTGGTTTCAAAAGCTTTTGGATTCTATCGGGATTTCATGCAGAACAACTACATTATATTGCGATAATCGTGCAGCTATTGATTGGGTTTCTAACCCTGTAGATCATGATCGAGCTAAGCATATTGATATTAAATTTCACACAGTTAGAGAATGGATTAAACGCCATGTATTATCGATTGAATATTTGTCAACGGATAAAATGCTAGCAGATTATTTAACCAAGCCAGTCAATAAGGAAGTTATGACTGCTACTAACCAGACCATTGGATCGGTAGTTCTGGTCGGGGAGTAATAAATTACCATCTTTCCTTTGTGGTCTGGCTCAGCTCACTTGGTTGTGTGAATGGTTCGGTTCCGAGTAGTAAAAGTTTTCTTCCCTATAAGGGTTTCTTTTATTTGTTAGGAACAATGAAACCTTTGTCGTCTTTAAAACAATTAGTATTAATAAGCACTGCCCCCCAAAAATGTAGCTACCTCCATCAAACAAAGAAAATGTGGTTGTCTTTTTTTCAAAGGTTTTCTTTGATGTTAAACAATCTAAATTTATTTTTATATTGCACAGATGGTAGCTATAAGGTTAGCTTAAAATATATTTTTTGTAACCGCCTTTATTTCAGCCTATAAGTATTAACTTAAGCAAAACAAATAACTAGTTTAAGAAAAAGTGTGCTTTTTGTGGTATGCTACCAGTTAATCAAGCAATGGATCACATGAAAATGCACAGTGGGTCTGGTTTTAGCCGCTGAAGTGCTAATTATAATTTAATATCAACATAGGACAAACCCCCTATGCCTACTTAAAAAGTTGTGCTTCATGCAAATATAGTACCTGTGTCACACGCTAAAAAGACATATATTCTCTACAAAAAATTATAAACCATCTGTTTTGAAGGCATATAGTTTTTTCTATAATTTGCAGCCAGGTAGGTACCACAAAGTACGCACTCGATAGGCCAAAATTAGCTTCTTAGCTACGTTTTATAACATTAGTTTTTTCGAGACAAAACTAGTAGAAAAAACAACATTTTTGTTCTGATGATTATATACAAATGGTTTATTTAGCAAGAAAATAAATTAGAATTTCCATATTGCGTATTTTTATAATATACTTTTTAGCTTAATAAACTGATACAACAAATACAATACAACAATAGACGTTATATAATAACCTTTAATTTATATCGACGTTCATCCTTGTTCTTAAATTCAGATGGAAGGCCAATATAGAATAACCATATTATATAGTCGTTACTACGCCCCTATTTTTGTGCGACAAAAGCCATGATAAAGAAATAAGTTGGCAGTTAACAGTTCTAAAATGTCATAATAAAGAGATCCGTGTGTTCTATGTTATATAATTATATTGACAGAATGGAGGAATTGGTGACTAAATAGCTTTTAAAGAGAACTATTTAAAATGATGCGCTATAAAACATGTTAGCATTAGCTTGTATAGATATTGCCCATACTTGCTAAAAATATAACCGTTTGTGCTAGTCTTGCTGGGTTCCGAATAATCATAATATTTAGCAGTAATGTGCTTTCAACCATTAATCTTTGTTTTCTTTATACTCACCATGCAGTTATTCTTTAGAGGGAGTTGGTGCAAATCGGTACATGCTGCAAGCAAATGCCAAATCTACAAATTAATACACACTACAACAATGCACAAGACGCTATGGCCGTTTACAAAGCATGTTGACTCTGATGCTTATGACTATTCAGAGCATCTCTCAGAACCAGAGCCACCAGAACTAAGACATATTCGGTTAGCAGCAATAGCTTACAATCGATCTGAGGCACAAAAAATGATTTCACCATTACAGGGAGCATTTATGGCTAGTCTTGTACGCGCACAGCAAGCAAAGGTTGTACTTGAGCTTGGATGTTATATTGGATATTCGGCGCTCTGGCTTGCACATGGCTTTAGATGCAACGGCGTTAATACTGGCGCACACTTGTGGACATGCGAACGCGATACAGATGCTGCGTATACCGCTCAAAAAAATATACAAATGGCTGGTTACCAGGACACTGTTACTGTTATGCAGCAGTCAGCGGATTTGGTATTGAGTAAATGGGATCCAAAGAAGAAAATAGATCTGGTGTTTATTGATGCCAATAAATCTGCCTACAAAAGTTACTACGACGCAATCATTGACCGGGAGTTGTTGCAAGATGGCGGGCAGATAATAGTAGATAACGTGTTATTCCGTGGAATGGTGTCTAAGCAGAGTGATTTGGTTGATAATATTAACGCAAAAATGTCTGTTAATTCAGAAGATCAAAGGCATAACAAACTGACACAGCTTGCGCAAAAACTCGGTAAATTTAATCGACATGTAGCAAAAGATCCACGCACAACGCAAGTAATTCTACCAATATTTGACGGGATAATGATCATTCAGAGGGCACAGATTTTGAAATGATATCTATACCTACATATAGGTGGCTGTTTTAACATGAAGATGTATCTGTTTATCTGTCTTGTGTTTGCTCAAATCAACAGATTTATCTAAACACATTAATGTCACTAACAACAAGTTTACCGGAAATACTATGTATCTAATCGATGTTGTGTATGTGTGGTGTATTGGGGAACGTGGTATAAAAGCCAAAAGCAGCGAGAGCAAAACATCTGAACAGTCAACTCAATAACACACAAGCACACTTACTTCAGTTTTTACATTAATCAACGCTTAACATTCCATAACATATTTTTAAAACAACAACAATTACTACTACAATACCCCTTTCAATTTAACATGGCTATTACGTTTGGCAATATCTTTATCGTTTCTGCGGTTGCTGTTTTTTCTAGCCTTGCATTTTCGACCAATGGCATGCCTGCTCCTCATGTGCACCAGCGCCGTGGAAATGATGGCGTGGGTGCATATGGCAATGCTGGCCTTTACGGCAGTGCATATCCCTATGGTGGTGCTGGCCTTTACGACAATGCATACTCATATGGCAATGGTGGCCCTTACGGTAGTTTAGGCGCATATAATGGTTTTTACTTAGGTGATGGTACCTATCCATTTGGCAATTTCGGCTATGGATATGGCATTGGATTCCCGTATGCAAGCAGTTTTACCAATGCCTTTGATGCCAACAGCAACTTTGCAAACTACAACGATGACACGCTCTACATTAACAACAAAGATGCAACAGCCGCAAACAGCAACGTTAACAGCTACAACAATGCCAATGTAATTGGATAACTTGGAGATTTCTAGTTCGGTGGAAAGCATGTGGTTGGTATAACAAACACTTGTGCAGCATACAATAGACATAGATATAGACATTATAGAATAGCGCCATTGGGCAAAATAAATAAACTAAACACAGAAATAGAAACGAGGCGCTATTATTCCAACGTGGTAAGGTTGTAAACCATGTCAAAAAATGTTTAAACCATATTACAGCGCTGTTAGAAAACAATATAATCTAGGTAGGCTATCTACATTATTTAAAAACACTTTTCAGAATTGGGCAGTTTAGTCAGCTCAACGCGCATTCTCGATGGTATAGTGGTGATTACGTCAGCCTGTCACGTTGGAAACCCGGGTTCGATTCCCGGTCGGGAAGCATTTTTTCTTTTGTCTTTTTTTTTGCAGCATTGCGTATTAAGCACTTTTAATTTTTTGCCATTGTTTTATTAGATTAAAACAAGCTTGACTGTCGTTCAGTTTATTTTTTTGTGACAAAGCCCAATAGTAAAGCAGCATAATACTCAGGTTAGAAAACATAGCCAATATACTTTAAAAAAATCTACTTAAAAATAAGTTAATGTCTTCTCCCCTGACTATAAAAAATTATTGCTTACAAAAAATTTATTTTTCTAGCTGAAGCTGTGGGTTTTTATTATTTTAAGGTAGACCTTGAATCAAAGACCTTTATGTAGCCAACGGTCATCATATAACAGCCATGCAACTTATGCTACATCTAAAAAATTTATGCTGTATTATGTGAGATAAGTTGTGTATTACATAAAAAAACATTTAATGCTTGCAATAATTTATAAACTAAATTTTTTAGTAAATAAAGGTTTTCCCTATATTTTTTTAACAAAGAACAGCAATAGGTAATAGTCTTAAAGTGCAACTAAATAAACTAAGAATCATTTTAGCAATCATATAATTTTTGAGTAGCAGCTAGCAGTTGTAATTATTTTAGAATTTAGGTGTTTTGCATCCAATATTGGCGCAAAAAAAAAAATAATAGTAGCTAGCATAAGATTTGTTGCAGAAAGTCGATGGTTTACCTTTATTTTAGCAAGTAATTATTAAATAGAAATTTTTTTATTTATTTAAAAACATTGTAAAAACTTTTTTTAGCCATCATGCTTTTATACAAGTCGGCCAACTCTTTTTGGGATTATCCTCCTTAATAACTTTTATCATGATATGAGTAAGGTCATATCCAGGATGGTTCAACTCAGGGGTTTAAGCAATCTTAGTGCAACATTGCTCTAAATGCGGTTTATGTTTTGTAAAACATCTTGTGTGGCGCAGCTTGAGGTTAATGTTCAAAAGCCATTTATTTCTCGTAAAAAAAAACTTCTCAATTCTCGCTCTTTTTGTCAAAAAAAACCATAAGTTTTTGTATTTTAATTAACTATTAGTAGTAAATTGCTTGGCTTAGTGTTTCTTAGCTGCGGCAGGCCGCATGGCCCAATGGAAAGGCGTTTGACTACGGATCAAAAGATTCCAGGTTCGAGTCCTGGTGTGGTCGTAATTTTTTACTTTTTAGCAAAAGCTTTTTAATTATTTATTTTTATAGTGGTTTGTTACTTTTATAATACAATTTATTGGCAACATCTAAATAAAGTATTGGTTAGACTTTTTTTTTTTTTAAAGTTGTGGTCACTTTCCCCTGAATGATGTTTGCGCTGTGCTACGTGACAACCTATTTTTTGTTATGCTTGACAAATTTCTACGGTTTATCTAGAGAGAACACAGTATTCCCACGCTGAAATGTTCAGAAACTTTCTTCCCCTGACACATGATAAATAATATGTGGCGAGAGTTTAAAAAAGCAGCAGTATAGAGATTTCAACGCTTCAGATTGAGATACGAATCGGGGAAGGGATTGGTAGAAGAAACAGGTGCAGTATCTCATCGCAACTTTGGCTTAATAAATTTCTCGCTTAAACTTTAGAGATGTTTATGGCAGTTAACCACACCTTGACTGTCTTTTATTTCTTGAAAGAACTTGAAGCCTCAAGCAACATCTAATAATTCCAGACCAAGTTTTATGCTAAATGATGGTAGATATTGCGCATTTACCCATTTCACCTAGCGTTTTCTATGGATAGATGGATAGCCAGACAAAAGCTAATATAATGCGTGAAACAGCTTAAGTATGGCGGTGGTATTGTTTTCGAATTTCCTCGACATATATTTTTATCTTCATAGCTCTATAATAATGTAAAGTAGTTCTCCTAGTTGTTTTAAATGTCTAAGCATCCAGTTGAAAATAACCAGCGGTTCACGTGATTCTATACTACTGATTTTTCAAGAGTTGGAAGCTGTCCTTCTCTTCTTAACCTCTAAACGTCTGTATTTTATTCCCCTCTTTTTGTGAATCTACGCAAAGTGTAGAAACAATGTCACAGTTGCTGACCGATTCTGAGGTTGAGGAGGTGGTCTCTTCACCTAGACCAAAGCCACAAGTGGTTCGACGACCTGTGCCTGTACGTGCGAAGAACAGCGGTACTTTAGGCCAGGCTAGTGCAAAGGCGGTTGGCAATGGCGTGGACATATTCGAGTATGGTAATAGCGACGATGAAGAGGAAGATGACGACGATTTCTTCAGGATTGGTCGGCCGGCAGCAGTCGCCGAGCATGAAAATAAAAGCAGCTATAGCTTGGCTGAGAGTGATGCTAGCGATTATAATAATACCTCTAAGCTGCTGTCGAGGACTGAGGCTGCAGAAGACATGGAAACTAGTGGTAGCGACTATGCTGACGACAGTGATTCAGATGGCCACAAGGATAGCAGCGTCCGAGCAAAGCGCAAACATCGAGACAGTGATGAGCCTTCTCCAGCTAGGCGAACAAGATCACGAAGTGTCTCGTTAACACCGCCACCGCCTGGTCCTCACGAATATGCTGGAACTGCAGGTTCAAGTGGGGAAGATAACCACGCCAAACCACCAGCAGCAGATGATAATATCTATGTGCTAGACTCAGACGGTGAGCCCAGCGCAAAGGCAACTTACTCTATATACGGACAAAATGGAGATATGGCCAATCTGGATCCCTCACTGCAGGAAGTCTTTGAGACGGGAGAATCAACCGACCACGCGTCTTCCAGAGGCATAGATCCAGCATATATGGACGTGAATTCACAAAACGTAGACCATGGTCGGTCTCAACAACAAGTCTTGTCCTCGGAAACAGAGACTCAATCACGCAACAGTAGTATGCTTGAGAAAGTCCAGATTGAATTTCAGTTTGTCTACGACGAAGACTTTCTCAACTACGAACTCGCATCTTTCTGGGATAAAGCTCGGTGGAAGCGAGTAAAAATTACAAACCGCGACAAGGTAGTAAAGAAGTTAAATGAAAATATTGCAGTTATCGCGTTCACTTCTAGCAGCATGGAAAATGCACTGCGGGCGTATGCGGATTCATTCGTAGTCAACGTTCTGGCAACAGATCCAGTGCTCATGTACAGGACAATGCGTGTATTTCCAACCAGCACGCTGGCCAGTTTGGGTAACAGATTGGCATATTATATCAAAGCATATCCTCGATCTGTGTATAACCGTGTACGGGAGAAGGAGGCTTTTGAGCAGGCGCAGCTTGCAATTGAGAGGGAGCAGACGCAGCGCGAACTGGAGATGGTCCGTGATCTGCAACGGAATGCTTCAGTAGACGAAGGGCAAGAAGAAGACAATATTCATTCAGAGGGCGATGTTGGCGACGCAGATTCGGGGGTTCAAGACGGTTCTGCGGCAGGAATCCGGATCAAGCTCCGTGACAAGACAGGCAAGGACACGCTTCTGCTTGTTACTGCCACCACCTCGGTGCAGGCAATCATTGAGAACTATCGTAGGTTAGCTGGTATGAGCCAGGATGTGGTGGTACGACTAGAGTTTGACGACGAGACACTTGATCCAGGTGATACTATAGGCGACACGGATATTGAGAACGACGATATGCTAACCGTATTTTCAAGCTAGCCAATTACATCTTGCATAGTTGGGCAACATATCGTTAAATGCTAGTGGGTGCTGTAGACTTTTGTTGGCTGTTATTATGCGTGTCCCACCCACTTCTCTTTTCCTTTGCCTCCTTGCCAAACTTGGATTATTAATTTCAATAATTGTTTTCTACCTCTAGCAATGAAGAGCTTTCAGCTTGTTCGAGACCTTGTCATAAAGCATCATGTTCACGGCATTAAGGACATTCAACAGTCGCTGAGGTTGTTGAATCATATGAAAAAGTTTGGCAAAGTCACTGCGTTTAAGTTTATGCGGGATCCAGTTACTAGTGAGCGCACTGGTATGGCGTTTATAACATATAAGCAATACAGCGACGCCCAAGACGCGCTAAAAAGTCGGCGACAGACTGTCCCTGAGCTTACTGCACCTTTTAACGAAATTGAAGTTACACCATACCAACGACAGGCACGCAAGGAATAAATCAGTGAACTATATTCCAAAAGATGCAGATGGATGGTAGAGAGGCAAAAGGCAATTGTATTAGAGGAGAGATGGAATATGTGCCGTGTCTGCTGTGAATAAAATGTTAAGTTTTCTACTATTTCTCACCAACTCCAACCACACAGCTCCTTTTACCTATACAAAACCCCCCGGTACAAACGCGCTACACTCATGGTACAGATCCTCCATCTCAATTGCCACAAAAATAATCTTTCTCTAAAAGCTAATATTTTTTGCAAAAGGAAAAAAATATAGCGATGTTATATCCAATAAAAGATATTGTAAAAAAAAGTCGAAAAAAGCTACTGGTTTGCTTGCGAATATTTGGCAAGTTTATCACTGACTTCGCGATTGATCTGGAAAAACTTTGCCACGCAACGGTCAGCGCAAACAGATTCAGCTTTAGTAAGTTCTTCATCATTGTAACGCTGTATCAGACACTTCTTGTAGCACAGATCATTAATACGAGCAAACATATCTGTTACCATTTCCATTTCCTGCTCGGCAGCAGCAAGCTGTGCATTTGGGTCTGTTTGCATCTGTCCCATGCCAGGCATTCCCGTAGGTGCAGCTGGTTGAGTTGGCTTTTGTGAACCTCCAAATACTCCGCCAAACATTGTATAGAAAAGGGGTGGAGTAAAAGATAAGTGTACTGTTGTTAATTGAGCTTTCTAAACTAACGCAAAAAAGACAAAAATGAAGGTGGCAATCACTATGTCTGGATCACAATGAAATGAAGATAAAAATTTATGTAATCAGTCTGATCAAGGTTGGTTTACTGCTCTTTTTTTTTTTTTGCTATGGATGAACTTGCCACAGATTTTTGAAGACTGGCTTCAACTGTAGTTTACTTGCAATTGGTGTTCAATTCTTTCATTATCATGGCTAAGAAGAAGAAGATCAAGGAGAGAAGGATACAGAGGCAGGTAAATCCCACAGAGATATCCAAAGTCAAAGTTAAACAGATTTCCAGGACGAAAAAATATATTTCTAAAAGCAGTGGCGACGGGTTTCGTTATGCCAAGCACCACACAATTCTTCTAATTGGTGAAGGCAACTTTAGCTTTGCTCGCAGCATTGCCAGTAGGCTTGAAAGTGGTACAAACATTGTGGCTACTGCACTTGATTCCGAGGCAGTTGTCAAGGAAAAATATTCCGCCGATGCAGAAGACCACATCAAAGAGTTTAGACGCCTAGGTGGTACAGTTATGTTTGGAATTGACGGTACAAAACTGAAGACTTACAAACAGCTTCGTGGTAAAAGATTCTCTCATATTGTATTCAACTTTCCTCATACTGGTAGTGGTGATAAAGATGAAGGGCGAAATATTATCCTCAACCAGCGACTTCTTCTGGAATTCTTTAACAATGTGCGTGAGTTGCTAACTGATGGCATTGCAATTTCTGATCGACCAACTAGTGGATCTTTTGATGATGATGACCATAATGACAACTACAGTAGCGGTAGCAGCGATAGCGAAAGCAACAGATGTAAAAAGAAGCGCAAACAACATTGGCAGGCTGGCTCTCAAAAGTCCAACTCTAATTTTATGGAATTTGAAGGCGTTCAGGCGCAGGTTACTTACAACATTGACAGCGATAGCGATAAAGAAGAAACAACTGCATCAAAGCAAGAGCGTGGACAGGTACATGTAACACTAAAATCAGGCAAACCGTATGATATGTGGAAGATTACAAAGCTTGCTCGACAATGTGGTTTAATTACACTGAGCGCTTATCCATTCAAACTTACTGCTTACCCCGGCTATGAGCACAGACGGACATTAGGATTTAAGGAGGGCCTGTCAACTGACGATAACCAGGAGATCAGAAACAAAAATCCAAAGGTATATGTGTTTGCAGCTGCTCTGGATAAGACTAAGAAAAATGCAAATGGTGGTGTGCGTCAGAATATTGCCAACACTATCAAGGGTCGTGGGCAAAAGCAACAAAACCAAGAACAACAGCGCAAGAAAAGGAAATATAGCTAAAACAGCTGATCTTGCATCTGATACTCGATTTAATTACCAATCCGCAGTCATCTTGTCTGTCGCCAAGTGTA